TTTTTTGAGACAGGGTCTTGCTGTGTAGTTCAAACTGGCCTTGAGTTTACTTATAGCCCAGACTGGTCTCAAACTTACAAAGATCCTCCTGCCTGAGCCTTCAGAGTGCTGGGATTATAGGCCTGTGCCTCCATACCCGGCATCCTCTTCTGGAGCAACCCTGCCCACAGGCCATCAGCTCAAAGTCATGGACACTGCCTGTCTGTGGAAACTGAGATAAATGCTGTGTCCAAATGACAGCTTCAGGGGCTTTTTTATCCCCCTCACTTCTTTTGTTTGAGACAGGGTCTTGTCCTATAGCCCAGGCTGGCCTTGAACTAGCAGCAATCCTCCTGCCTCAGCCTCCTGAATGCTGGGATTACATGTGTGCACTCTCACTACTAGGGATTAAACTCAGGTCCTTGTCACTGGACTACATACCTAGGCCAGAGTGAGTTTTTTATTTTGAGACCGAGTCTCCCTAAATCACTAAGTGGCCCAAACTGGGCTCACAGTTGCACGACCCTTCCACCTCAGGCGCTCCTGGTGCTGGGATTCCCCGCCTGTGTGTCCACACGCAGCTTTCCCTGCTGTCTGAGGGGAGTCTCCGCCCCCACCTATGGAGGTGTGTCTTTGGGTCACACCCTCAGGCTTCTAGCCTTGGTCCTGCCACCACCGGCTCTCTGACATTTTCAAGGCCACCTGTGTGCATCTCAGAGTGCCTGTCCCTGCATTCCAGTGTCTCTGTAGGTGAGTGTTGTCACCCCGTGAGTCCCAGGGCTGGTGTGTCTTCATTCTTCCACGCTTACCCGGCAGTGCCAGGTGCTGTCCCAAGGACATTACATCCATGCTCTGTAATCCCACAATGAGCAGGCATTGCTACAGTCATTGTCACTCTACAGATTAGGAGCAGGGCCCTGGGAAGGGAAAGATTCACCTATGGTCGCACACCTTGTAACAAATGGAGTCTAGGGACCGGGGAGATGGCTCAGTGGAATAAGCACTTCCCTGGCAAGTGCAAGAACCTGAGTTCAATCCCTGGTTCTGCAAAAAAAAAAAAATGGAGTCTGGAAAAAAGAGAAAGAAAGAAAGAGTCTGGCACGAACCAGCATGCAGTTTTTAAAAAAGTATATTATGATACATAATAATTACATAATTTGGGAATTGGTACATATACATATTGAATCCTTCCCCCCCCCCTTTTTGGGGTACCGGGGATTGAATTCAGGATCTTGTGCTTGCCAGGCAAGCGCCTATTCTACTGAACTAACTCCCCAGCCCCTACATATTGAAGCTTAATCATTTTTTACCTCTCCTTTTCTTCATCTCATCACACCTCCCCCATACACTTTTCTTTTGGTTTTGTTTTGAGAAAGGGTCCAAATTAGTGTATTGCCTAGGCTGGATTTGATCTCACAATCCTCTTGCCTCAGCCTCCCAGCGGGCTGGGACTGCAGGAGTGCGTTACAGTCTCTGACCACTGTGGGTGTCGCCGGGCTTTGTGGTCTGTCTGGGTGCAGCCCCATCCGTCTCCCCGTTGGCCCCCTCTGCCATGGTTGGATCCGGGATGGACTACAAGCCCCGGCATCCATTGCACGGCGGGGAGGACGTGACACAGAGCAGCGGGCGGGGCTCAGGGCTGCACAGGGACTGCTGCAGCCTCGGACCCGTCCGCCGAGCGAGTGCCCGCCCCCAGCCCTGCTCTCAGCGCCCTGCGCTCCAGCCGCCGGGACCGCGCCCGCTGGGGCCTTGCGCACTCCGGGCCGGCGATGAGCGCGCGGAGCCGCGATGAGCGCAGGTGAGTCCCCGCGGGATCCGGGGGGACTAGGCGACAGCCCCACCGCGGGGCCGCAAGCCCGGGCCGGGCACCCTGGTCGTCCCCGCCATTAAGAACCCCTTCCTGCGCCCGCAATGGAGCCCCGGGACCCAAGTGTCCCTGCAGCCAGGAGCTCTGCCACCCTTCCGAGCCCGGCCCCGGCTGAGTGACGGATGTCCGGGCCCAGCAGCCTTGCGCCATCGTGGGCTTCTCTGCTGAATGAATTGGGCCGGTTACCCAGGTCTCACGAGTGCGCGGGTGAGACTGGCCCCGGGCCTGGCTCCTGCTCGGGCTGCGGAGGAAGCCTGTTAGCCCAGATCCTCGGGCCACACCCTCCGGGCCCCATCCCAGGCCGGCTGTCACAGGTTCTCCCCTTCCAGAATCCAATACTGATCCTCCCAGCTGCACAGGAGCCCTATAGCCCTCTCCTGCCCAGAGGGTCTACCGACCCCTGCATGTCTCCCTGCCTCCACTTCTCCCCTGGAAGCCCCGCAGCCCAGGGTGCACCCAGGGGAGGGCGAGGAAAGGAGGAGGAAGAGGACCGGCGGCGTGCTTCTCAGCGGCGGAGCATCCCCAGCACTGCGGAAAGGAAGATAAGCCGCGGATAAGGAAAGCCGCCCCTAGACTCCACAAACAACACACCCAGCGCAGCGTGGAGGGAGGATGGACTGGACAGACACGCTCGTGGCCGCTGGGGAGCCACTGTGAAGTGGGAGCAGCTGCCCTGGACTCCTGCCAGGTCTCTGGCAGGAAGCAGGGGCTTCTGCAGGAAGCAAGAGGTCCCCAGATGGCCTTTGACTTCAGCCCTGGGCGCTGCAGTGCTGCTGTCATTGTGCCCGGGCCGTGAGCTCACACCAGTTTCCAGGGCAGTCTTGGCCACGCAGGGCTGTGTGATTTTTGTGCATGTTACTCAACCTCTCTGAGCCTTCTTTTTTTTCCTTCTCCCCTCCCTTTCTTTCCTCTCCTCTTCCCTTCCTCCCCCCCTCCCTCCCCTCTCTCCTGTCTCCTCCCTTTTTGCAGTAGTAGGGCTCAAACCTTCTGCCCTGTGTGTGCTAGGCAAGCGCTGCGTGCAGCCATGCTCCTCATTTCAGGGAACCCTAATAGTCGCTTTCTGTGGGTGGCTGTGAGGATGAGCTAAGACTGTGTTCCTTCAGAGCCACTCATTCCCAGCCTCTCCCCCTTGTGGGTTTTTTGTTGTTGCTTTTCTTTTTGAGACTTAGCTCTTGCTGCGTATTCTAGGCAGACCTTCAACTCACTATGTAGCCTACGCTGCCCTCTAACTCCCAGTGATCCTCCTGCCTCCACTTCTGAAGTGCTTGATTTATAGGCGTGCATGCACCACCACGCCTGGCTTCCTCTAGCAAATTATATGAGCTTGGGTGAGGGCCCTCGAAGCTGTGTTCTCAGTTTCCCGGAAGGCTGAAGCCGCCCCCCCACTCCCCGGCACTGCACAAACCTTTGTGCCACCCAGCCTGCTTGGGCCTGCTCTGGGCTGGCCTGAGCTGGTGAGAGCTCCCCAACCACCCTGTGGAGCGGAGCCAGGAACAAAGATAAACAGGCCCACTCAGTATTTTGACAGGTGCCCTGGCTTGACTGGCAGAGACGCTAGAGCTTCCCCGGATGCCACTCCCTCCTCCTGCTTGCAAGTTCCTCCACTCGTCTCTCCCCAAGGTTGTCTAGGAGCATAGCCTGGTCCTCATAGAAAGATGGGTTTGGGACTTCCCAGGGAAGGAGTACTGCTTAGATCCTGGGGTCTACAACAAGGGCTCTTTAAGAAGAGACTAAGGGGCTAGGGAGATGGCTCAGTGGAATAACTGCTTCTCTGGCGAGCGCAAGGGCCTGAGTTCAATCCCCAGTTCCGCCAAAAAAAAAAAAAAAGAAGAGACTAGAACCTATGCCCCTCTCCTTGGACTGACCCCGGGCAGCGAGGGATCCACAGTGCCTGGCACTCCTTGCTTCATTCCCTGCTGTGTCTGCGAGAGACACATTTCATTCATTCATTCATTCATTCATTCATTCATTCATTCATTCATTCATTCAGTATACAGTGGGCTCTGTGAGCAGGACTAGCGACACCACCACGGTGCCACCCCGATGGGACGGTGCCAGCCCAATGGGACAGTGCTATCTGGGATGGGAAATGGGGGGCTTTTCCAGCTTGGACACCAGCTCTTGCTTGGCTCAGTGCTGTCACTGGAGAAGAGGGGACACCCCGCCCAAGCTGTGGTGTGATGGGATGGGATGAGATCAGAGAGGCGCTGGCTTCTTTCCCATCTCTCTGGAGCTCCACAGAAAGAGCTCAGCAGTGGCTTCCCGCAGTGACAGATGGGAAGGGGAGGAGGGCCTGGGAAATGGGTCAGGGCAGAGGCCCTGCCTCCCAGACAGGGAGCCGCCCACCATCCCCATCTGTCCAGGCCCAGGCCTCAGGGACTTGAAAAGCCCAGCTGCTGGGTTCTTGTATAGTCTCAGAGCAGCTTCCCAGAGGCAGGAGCCACACACCCAGCGAGGAGAAGGTGACTACCTTGCCCCCGGGAGAGAGCTGGGAACACACTTCGTGATGAGGGCGCTGGTGATGATGTGTGGCTGTGGGGGCAGCTTACCTTTCCGTGCCTCAGTTTCCCAGGCTACAAAATAGGAAAGTCATCCCTGATTCCTGGGGTTGTAGGGAGGAGTATGAGTGAATGGATGGAAAGCTCTTGACAGGGACCTGCCTTAAGCCCCTGGGGACGCTAAGGACCTCTTTCCCTGTCTTCTGTGGAAATGTCCCAAGCACAGCCCTGGAAGGTAAGAACTCTCCACCCTGCTTCCTTAGGGCACCTGTCCCAGGCTATAAAGGACCCTGGCAGAAATCTCAAGGAGACACTTGTGCCACTTCAAGAGGCAAGAACTAGGCATGGTGGCATATGCACATATTCCGAGCACTCAGGAGGCCAAGGCAGGAAGATTGCCCTGAGTTTGAGCCCTGCCTGGGCTACATAGTGAGACCCTGTCTCAAAAAAAATAGAACAAACTAAAGAGAAAGTGAGGCTGTGGCTTGCTGGTGGCCCAGGACCTGTAAACCTGGCCTTGTCAGAATTTTCCTGGGCAAGGATGGGGAGATAGCTAAACAGCATAAGTGCCTGTGTAGCAAGCACGAGGTCCTGAGTTTGGTTCCTGGTACAAAAAAAAAAAAAAAAATCATCCTGGACGCCCACTCCTCTGTTCCTACCAAGGCTCAGGACCTTGGCTATGTCTCGTCTGTGGGTCAGGTAGCGAGGGAGCTGATGTTCTCTGCCCAGCCGGCCCCACCATTGGTGTCTGCGTGTCTCCCTGTCTGTCCTGAGACCAGCTTCCTAGAAATAGCCACGGGTGGGCTCTGTTCATTTGGCTTCTGAACCATCAACTGAAAGGGGCCTCAGTGG